TTTTTTCTAAAACACTGAACCCGACACAGAACCTATTTCACCAAAATCGGTGAAAACTTGTACAAGAGGGTTATTTGACAGCGTGGTCACGAATATGACATCCACTGTTGTCTCTGGCGCCATTTCGTGCTTAATGGCTTCAATTTGGCCCGACCACTTTTTTCATCAAAATCGATGAAAGCCTGCGTAATAGGGTTGATTGATAACCTGATCAGGAAAATCACATTCTTTTCTTGACACCACCGCAATTCAGCGCTCTTCTAAGGCTGAATGTGGGAGGAGGAGTGACTCCCTTCCCGCTAGGCTCAGCCATTAGCAGAGCGCAGACGACCAGAGTGCCCTGTATTGACGCCGGCGCCAAGGATGAGTGTCATATCAGTGATCAGGATGTCACATTCCCCTGTACACAATTTCCATCTATTTTGGTGAGAGAGTTAGGTGGCGCCTATTGGCTCCAAATTGTGCCAGCCTCAACAATGAGTATCATATTCGTGCTCGGAGCACTGAATAACCTCTGTGTGCAAACTTTTAGTAGAAAAAAAATTGAGATCTTGGAGAAGTAGTAGTGGAATAAAGCCGAATACTGGACTGAAATATAGGTTTTGTGCAAGACTATCGCGTAAACCTATTACTTCGAGATGCCACCAAGCAATGGTACAGTCCTAATCACTATGTCAGTCGGGGCGTGTCAGCAAAACTGGATTGGGCGTAACGTCAGTCCCTTTCCTACCAGTCATCCAACGCCTGAAGGCGAAATGTTCAGAAAGCGAAATGTAGTAAATCGTACTATCGATAGCTCGGAGACATCAAACTACGACTCCTATCGAATTCTTTCCTTTCAGCGGTTCTTTATACCGGTACAGCCGCTAGTTCACCGGTCGAGATGCCGTCAATATTGATAGTGGAAGAGGAATGAGTTGTGATTTAATGGGCCGCATACTTGAGATGCACTTGATCTGTTGCATCTGGGTTGTAAACGAGCAGAGGCACAATTCTGTCGTTAACTGTCCTCATCATTCGTTACCGCCGTCACTACCAAAAACGTTACTGCCTTCTGTAACACTTTTTGAAAGTAATGCCCCACTGTTGCTGTGAACTGCACTATGTATTTTGTGCCCCTCCCATCTTCACATTCGTGCTCATGTTCTCTCAGTTGCTTTCAACACCTGTCACGCCCCCCCCCTCCCTCCCCCACAATGTTGCAGTCTCAACCCTGTCATCTCACAGAGCCAACGTTGTTAGAATGAGCGCCATGAATTTCGTGACAGGCAGACAGACGCACACACTCTCACAGACCTACGGAGCGTATTAAGGATTGATTAAAGGCAGCGCCCGCGTTCATTTGATGTTCCTACGCCCTCCTTAGATATCGTAGCTTTGTCGACAAGGGTGGAGGATGTACTAATTTCGCAGCTCAAAAATACGAGAGGATGGCGTGAAGAGGATGCCGCCCCGCCCACCTGGCTGCCATAACTGCTTTGGCTTAGCCCTCTTGCTTTAGCCCTCGGATTCCCACTTTCAAGAATAATGAGTTTCATACGTAATCTAGAAGTGAAGAAAAAAGCAGAAAAATCCATGGAAAATGCCCTATATAGAACCCTGCTGGCCAGGTGGGCGGGGCGGCCGACTCTTCACTAGCGAACGGCGCTATCCTCTCGCCTTTTTGAGATGCAAAACTAGTACATACTGCATCCTCATAGGGAGGGCTATGATATCCAGAGAGGGTGCGGGAACATCAAGTGAACGTGCCTTTAAGCGCCCAAACTAGAGGGGTTGCTTGCTCGAATTGGTTGGTACTGAAACGCAGTAGGCCGCAAGCCAACAGAAGCAGCGATCATCTTAACCGTGCGAACTCTGCTTTACACAGCGTAATGTTACTCTTGCCAGTGGGGGGGA